TATTCACATATATACACACTCGACAGCAAAATCAAGCAAAATTAAAGAATCACCCATTCTGATCACCAAAAATAGGTAAACTTCAAGAGAGTGTAACTTCGTCAAAAATAATCGTAACGGAATTAGCCAAAAAGCGTTTTACAGCTTAAAGTATTTACTTGCAAAATCCATAATTCATTAAATTATTTACTGATTCTTTAACAAAGCTACACGGATGCAAATGGAGATGCATTTTTACATTAATTAGATTTTAATCGTAAATCGTTAAAAACGCGTGCGATGTTTCCATATAAAACATAATTGCCGTTTGAAATAATGTAATTGGTCATCTAACATAATTGCGTCGGTCGTCTCTTTTAAGGATATGAGGTGTAATTTATTGATTACATGAGTCCTGCGATCAATGCAATTATGTTAGTTGACCAATTAAATTATCATCATTTCGGACTGCAATTATGTTTGACATGGATTTTGCACACGTTTTTTACGATTCTCGTACTAATTAATGTCAGAATTTTTAACTATTATATGTAACATTATAATCCGATTATCGTCTTATAACACTGATAACTCGATCGGGGTCAAAACGTCTGTTTAAACATTTATGAATTATTGAATGTTTCACTTGTTAAATACTGGAGCGATAGAACATCTAAGCTTTGGCTCATATATAGTTCTCTATATGTATTTATATATTTATTAATTTTAGATTCCAGAATAAACAATGCTGTAATATAAACTTGTGACATAATTTAGATCGATAAGAAAGATATGAATTGCGCATACCGACGTTAAAATATAAATAATATTCAAAAGACAATCTGTTTGCGAAAATAGCCATAACATTTTTATTTTAGGCTTATTCAATTATTTAACAATCCAGCAAATTAATCGAAATGAATTGAAAATTGTAATTTATTTTAATTTATTTTCGAAAAATGAATCACAATATATAAAAAAATAGATGATTAATTAATATGTCATTGCGACGTACGATCTGTAATTTCATGATTGAAACAATACGTTTCTTTCGCGTATTGTGCAGACAGGGATTATTTTTGGATTCAAATGGATTCGAGAAATCAGAAGTGCTGATTTGAAAATTTCGAAATCAATTTATTTCTATCCATTTCAAATAATTTTCGATTGAGAAAATAATTTCTTGTGCATACACACGAAGATAGAAATATATGGCATATATTCGCCGAGTTGCTATGCAGTGTTCATGCAAATTAAGCTGATATTCATAGTCAGTAATTCTTAATTATTTAGAGACCATCTTAAGTAATGTCTTAAGATGCTAATACGGCACGCTCTGTGAT